TTATACTGCAAACATTAAAAAAATTATCGATGAGTCTGAGTGTCAGCCTTCTCATTGAACGTGCTTTTTTATTTTTCAATGTTTATGTTCATGATAGTGCGTTACTTTTTTGTTGTTATTATTAACTATTTTTAAATCATACGTGACATGCCGTTGTGGCTGGATAAAAGTTTGTGTTTATTTTTCAAACGTTTGATAGGTAGGAATGTAGCTATGAACAAGTACGTACTAGTAATATTAGTTATTTTGTTATTAGTTTATTATTTGTACCTATGTATTATGTTTACCAGTTAAATAGTAAAATAAATACATATAATGATAAATTAACTGTGGATTATTTCATTTACGTTGCGTTACGTGGCTTCCGTGTGGGTAGCTCGCTGTTTATTCCAAAATTAACAAAGTAGCTCAACACATTGAAGAGGTTGGCGACTACTGGATTATAAAATAGAATTTACGCGAAGCATCCTGTAAGAGTTTTGTATACATAATGAGCTTTTATCAGTAAACCGCTTTCAAAATTCAACTTTCAGAAACAATTATAAATACCTTTTTGCGAGCTCATGAATAATAGAATATTACAGCGTTTTCCCCAGGTGGCTTTCACATGTTTTGCTTTCTTGTCATGATTTTCTGGTCCAGTCATCACCCAACACAAAATTTTCACTTCCTTATAGAGAGCATCAGCGAGATCTGTGTTTGTCATTTTATGAAAGGTATCATTATCATTGTGAGCGCCTACTTCTTCTTTTGGTCCTAACACACTATCCATATCACTTTCTCTGTGATAATCCTCATATTTGTCTTCATGGTCATGATCTACGGAATTATTTTTTTTGTTCTGGTGTGATTTATGAAACCTGACGTTTTTCGGGTGATTGTGATAGTCGTCACTGTACTTATATGTAGTAGTCGGTGTCAATGTAACATATGCTATTGTGAAACCTATCACTATGCCAACCACCAGGTAGAAATACAGTTTGTTCTGAAATAAAGAGAATCATTTCAGCTACCGTAACAATAATTCCACGTCGAAAACACAAATTTTAGTTTATAAAACGACATGAAAATACTACCTATCGAAACGGGGTTTGAGTAATATCACATTCGAAAGGTACATTGCTGTTGTCCATACAGTTACATATCTTTTTATGATTCGACTGCCTACCCAAGCTAAGGTGTAAGGAACGTGCCGACAGCTGAATGGCCGCAGGGTAATAAGCGGTTACGAACGATCCCCTTGGAGAACCGGGCGAAACCTCATTGTTATCAACCTTCCTCTGGTAATGCCAGAGTGATCAACTCTTTCCCTGCTACTCGTGGGAACACACATGAATGAAATAAACACAGAAAAAACAAAAACCAATCCCGTCGCTGGACAGAAATGCTCACCCCAATCTATGGTGGTAGCTGGGGATTAACAGAATTGTCCATCCCAATCTACCACTTGGAATGAGGCTGGAAAGCGATAGAGGCATGAGTGGCAGTAACTAAAAGTGCACTTTCCTCCTCCCTCACTCCACCTCCAACAGCACACTTCCTGCGGCGGGCGCCAAGAGCTCCGCCTTAAATAAAAGCAAGGAACCGGCTGCCCCTGCAGGAAAACGCCCTTACTTGAGCACCTCCACGGAGGGAATCCCAAGAAGGTTGAAGAAGCCGCGCAACGACAATAATGTCGCTGCACCTTCCACTCACCCTCCTTTCTCTACAGATACAGAGATAATTCGACTGATAATTCATCTATAAAATTAAATATACCAAGTTTGAAAATGAAACTCATGTTATAGAATCGAATCAGTCCTGGAAATGCATTTCATTGGTTCGGACTTCCCCTGTCTAATATGACATAAATTGATTTGAAATCCCTGAAAGCATCTATAAAAAAATTAAAAAGTCATCACCCGAAGACAATTGTGGATACTAACAATCGAAACGTCGTGAAGTAACTTGGATTGAATTCTTTTAATTTTTTATTTCCATTTCTTTTTAATAATTTTCAATTTTCATCTTGTATTTTTGATTGTTGCTTGTATTTTATTTCATTGTAATTTCAGTTTTTTTCCTTAATATAATTGTTATTTTTCAGCTAATCTTTTTTAATTTTTTATACAGTGTCATCCCTAAAGTTTTTCTCATTTGAA